AAAAGCTTAGCGTGTGCACTTACCATAGTATGGATTTTATAGAGATCTGCTCACAGATGCCCAGAAGTCCTCAGCCGCTCAATCGGGAGCGGCAGGCTCAAAGACAACCCTCAGAGGTGAGAGGAGCACTGCCTGAATTGACCCGAATAGAGGCAGCTTATCAGGGAAGCAGCAAGCTGCCCAACTACCTGATGTCACTGCCACGGAGAAACTCGCTCAATCGGGAGCGGCAGGCTCAAAGACAACCCTCAGAGGTGAGAGGAGCACTGCCTGAATTGACCCGAATAGAGGCAGCTTATCAGGGAAGCAGCAAGCTGCCCAACTACCTGATGTCACTGCCACGGAGCGACTCCTAGCTAACACTCACAGAGAGGGGAGCACTTCTTAGCTCAACCAGAAGGGGGCGCTAGATTAGAAGGGGTAACCCAGCAGGGCCCGAAAAGAGACAGTCCACTGGTGCAGCTGGACACGGTCTCGTGCTCTCTATCTCGATAGAGAGCGTGGGTCCCGTATAACCAGACCCGATAGAATCTGAAGAAATAGCTGGACCCAAAAATAATTATTGCGTATAGAGCTTACTGTTCCTCAGAGCAGAAGCACAAAGGAGGGGTTTCCACAGAAACACAAATCCCTCTTACCTCAGGGAACGCAGTGTAATCCAGCACACTCCACAGAGGGGTGATTATTGGTTCAACCCTAAGAGCCTGCCGCCTTAAGAGAAGATGTCTCCCCCATGGCCAGCGTCTCTTCAACAGGTGGCATCTTCTCATAACCATTTAGGGCTGTAGTACTCAAGTCATTTTTCTATCGTCTCGGACTTGTCTCGGACTCGTTGGTGTTTGCACTCGGGCATGTCTCGGACTTGGTCATTGGACTCGCCAAATGTTCTCGTTGGTCTCGACCGAGTCCAGCAATATGCTTTTTTTTCTCCTTCAAAAAAAAACACATTTGCATGTCGCGCCTGAAAACGCGTGGAAAATGCTAGGCGCGTCGCTTTCTCCTTCATTCCAAAGCACTCTGTAGCCTGCGCTCTATGCTTGCGCTCCGTGGCGTCTGCCGTTGCTAAGCAACCATGACCTGCGCTCTCCATGAAGACGCGGAAGTTTCAGCAAAGGATAAATGGATTTCCAGCACTAAAAATCCCTTGAAATTTATTTTAAAAATGGCTATCCTTGTACAGCTATGATTAGCTGTTTCTCCATCTTGGCTTAGCTTTCAATTTTGTTAAGGGAAAGGATGAAGCTAATTGGTTGATTCTTGTCACATGACCCGCCGCGCACTTGCTGCGTTCTGAAAAGTTTAGATGTTTCTAATTTAATTTTCTACCTGTTAGTGTCACGAATCCGGTCCATTGAACTTCCGTCTGCTTGCCACTAGAGGTCACCCTTCCACTACTATGGACTCTTGCACCACACTACTGTTGCACTTCACCCGGACTACAGTTCCCATCATCCATTGCACTGATTACACACACACAGCTGAATGCACACAACACTGATTGCACACAGCTGTCATCAATCACACCTTCCCTATATAACACTCACTCTGTTCCCCGTCAAGCTGCCGAATATTGTTTAGCGAATATCATTGTTTAGCTGATAGCTACCTTACGGAGCCTGCTTAGTTTTCCTAGCCTTAGCGGAGATTAGCTGTTTCTCCATCTTGGCTTAGCTTTCAATTTTGTTAAGGGAAAGGATGAAGCTAATTGGTTGATTCTTGTCACATGACCCGCCGCGCACTTGCTGCGTTCTGAAAAGTTTAGATGTTTCTAATTTAATTTTCTACCTGTTAGTGTCACGAATCCTAGCCTGTGTACCTGGATTTATCCCTCTAGTCTCGCCCTGTTGGATTCCGTTTGCCGTCGACTGACCCTTGCTTGTTTACCGGATTGCCCTTGCCTTGTCTTCTCCATACCAGTTTGCCATTGTCTGACCCATGCCTGTTTCTGACCACGCCTTTGGAATAAAGCCTTGCAAATGGATCCGTACGTCTCATGTCTTGTCTGCATCGTAACAGTTAGATTGTGTTTTATTAACGTCTACACCTACCCCAGCCTTAAACTTACCCTTTACAATAATGAAATACTAATTATTGTTGTACAGTGTGATAAAAATTACGCTGCATTTGTGCGCATGCCCAGTAGCACCAAACGTATCCCTTCTATCGCGTGCATGCGTCATATCCCGAGCTTTGTGTGTGCGCGCTGTGCGAACATCAAAATCATTTAAATTTTTGACCACAGACACGATGTCAGCAAACAGCAGCATTATACAGTATGGTTTTACAAACCACAGAGAATTCTTCGACGGGGCACGGAAGAAGAAACACATGGCCAACTGCAAATTTTGCAACAAAACTATTGCAGAAACCTGTGGGACAACATCTAATTTCGTAAGGCACCTGCAAAGACACCACAAAAAGAGGTAAGTTGAGCCGGAAGACATCCTAATCATAAGAATTAGCCTTTGTATTTGATTCTTTGGTAACACTTTACAATAAGGTTAATTAGTTAACTACATTAGTTAACATGAACTAATAATGAATATTCCTTCTACAGCATTTATTAATATGAATAAAGCCTTGCAAATGGATCCGTACGTCTCATGTCTTGTCTGCATCGTAACAGTTAGATTGTGTTTTATTAACGTCTACACCTACCCCAGCCTTAAACTTACCCTTTACAATAATGAAATACTAATTATTGTTGTACAGTGCCTTAACCAGCCTGTAAAATCACGAGTGATTCATGACGGTCCTCGTTCGTCTCTAAGTGATCTTATGGACTATGCTCTATTATCTGTTGGTTCAGCGTTCACTGTGGGTATCGCGGAGGAATGCGACCCCGCACTCACTCGTGTAATGGCGGCCGCACTAGATCACAGTTGATCGTCATGAACCAAGTCAAGTCACAATTTATTATGATGAGTCAAGTCTAGTCACAGTTGATCTTCATGAGGCAAGTCAAGTCACAGTTGATCGTCATGAGTCAAGTCAAGTCACAACTGATCTTCATGAGTCAAGTCATGTCACAGTTGATCGTCATGAGTCGAGTCAAGTCAAGTCACAGTTGATCGTCATGAGTCGAGTCAAATCAAGTCACAGTGGATCGTCATGAGTTAAGTCAAGTCACATTTGCTCTTTCTGAGTCACATCAAGTCACAGTTGATCTTCATGAATCAGGTCACATCACAGCTGATCATCCAGAGTCACGTCACATCACAGTTGATCATCCAGAGACACGTCACATCACAGCTGGTCATCCAGAGTCCGGTTACTTCCTGTCTCCTGCACCCAGAAATCCGAGGTCAGTTCGTCAGTATCCCAGACTGGCATCCAGCGTGGAGGACCCACCACTGGTGTCGGCACGTGCAGCTGGTATCCCTAAACCAGCACTCTCAAGCCCACCAGTTCCTGAACTATTTCCCCTGTCTGTAGCGATTCCCACAATGGGGATCACGTTATGGTGTATTTGGGCTACATACACCACCACTGAAACTTTAGAAACGGCGGCAGCCACTGTGATGTCTCCCGAGGTGTCGGCTGATGCTGCAGATCCTCCCAAGGTAGTGGAGTTCACTGCTGTTTCCCCAGAGGTGATGGCGCCTGCTGCAGCTTCTCCAGAGGTGGCGGCGTGTGCTGCAGAACCTCCTGAGGCGGCGGCAGCGCTCGCTTCAACTCCTTGTACGGTGGTAGCCTGTCATGTCATAGTCGAAGGAACCGTTAATGAACTCTCCCTATTTCCTGATGGTCCTACTGTAGAACCTCCAGAGGTGGCGGCATCCGCTGCAGAACCTCCAGAGGTGTCAATGGTATCCACTTATGAACTCTCTACCCGTCCTGTCACGGCTATGGAGGCCGTCTGTGAATTCTCGTCCTGTTCTGTTCCGGCCAAGGAGGCCGTCTGTGAACTCTCTGCCCGTCCTGTCACGGCTATGGAGGCCGCAACCGGCACTCTTCGTGTGATATTGATTAACTATATGAATTGATATAAATATATACATTTTCTGCCTCCTTATCTTAAAGTATGTGATCATTGTTAATGTATATTAATAGACTGAATCATGCAGTGAAAGAGCGCACTATAAATGCGCACGCGCACTAAAGCCAGTGTTGGTCTAACCAGACTTCATCACGTCGCGTATGCGTGACTCTGTAGGTGTGTTTTGATTAGCTTTTGCAATATACTCGATAATGTCATGATGTCTCACGAGTTCAGTATTTGCGCTAAACCTGTGCAGATTTGGCCTGCATGAACTTCCCCAAGAAATTAATGAATGAACATAGTTTACGAAAAGTAACCGGCCAAATTGGCTGGTGATTTGACAGCGTTCCCCGCCACAGCTGATTTTTTACCCGCATTTGGCGGGTTGGAGGGTGTTAATTTCAAACCCTGAGTGTATATATAATATATTGTATATAATATTGTATAACAATATTGTTACACTACAATCAAAAGACGGAAAATGTGAAGTTGCACTTCAGCTTGTGTGAAATTGCTATACCTAAAGTAAATAAAATGTAAAAAAGTAAATAAAAATTATTTGATCCTACAGCTCCAAACTCGGTCCTAGAGGGCCGGTGTCCTGCCGAGTTTAGCTCCAACCTTAATTAAACACACTTGAACCAGCTAATCAAGCTCTCACTAGACACACTAGTTTGGAGACCACTGTCCTTGGACTCGGTCTTGACTCGGTCTCGACTAGTCCTGGTCTTGGACTTGTCTTGGACTCGACAAAGCTGGACTTGACTACAGCTCTACGTAACCACTACCACAGCTGTTAAATAAACAAATTATTCACAACTAATTTGGTCATCTTTATTTCCTACAAATACAAAAGCAACAATTATTATTTTCCCTGTTGGATTTTAATATTGTGGCCATCTCCTCTTCATCTGTCAGTGGTGCTGGTGCAGGTTCTCCCCCCATTTTACGAGTCTCTGCCTTCTTGCTGTTGGCTGAATAGAAGTCAAATGTTTATTTCATTACACTAATTAAGAAATGTATGTTGGATTAGAGAACATTTAATTATGTGAAAAGAGCATTAGACTATGTGGAAAAAGCCACTGCACATTGAAATAGACACTGAATGATATTTATTGAATATGTCAAATGTTTGTAAAGTCATGTAGCCTACACCCATAAACCTTTTACACTTAAAGCTTTACCTGACTGAATTATGTTTTTATGTTTAATTTTTTCTGCTGCCAGGTGTTTTTTTTTTCTTCTTTTGCCCGTGGGGTACCATAAAAATTGAGATTACTTCAATAACTTACCATTCTGCAGGTTTTCACCTCTGATATTTTAACAGTGAGGGGTCATATGATGCGATTTCAAGTTTTCCTTTCTCTTTGGAGTGTTACAAGCTGATTGTGCATAGATAAGCTGTTCAGCTGTTCTGAAACTGAAAACTCAGACTTTCCCATCTCAGGGTAAGTCAACTCAGAGTTCAAGTTTTAACTCAGAGTTTGCTGAACCTCCTTTCTGGAATACACCTCAGGGGGGGTATTCCAAAAAGCAGGTTATGTGACATACCCAGGTATGTTTGAAGATAAGCAAGCGGATAACCTCAGCTTTCGGTTCCAAAATCAGAGGTTACTTTCAGGGTATGTCAGTAACCATAGCAACTTGCTCTCTGAAGATAACTTGCTCCGGAGCAGGTTATGTTCCAGGCTTAGTTCACTTCAGCGCTATCAGCACATGCATGATCAGCGCATGATCTACTGACGAGCCTTCAGTGGGCAGTGGTTTGTGGTCAATCAACCGAGAGTTCAGGGTTTAACAGATGGTAAGTTATCCGTGCTTTCTGGAATACACCCCTGTTCTTCGTACGTCGCTAACTCAGTTAGCTGGATTTTATTGTTGATGATTTGGCATGATCTTGGATTGATTGGTTCTTCGAAGCTCATCCCGGAGTTGCTGTCATAGCAACAGGTCATTAAGCTTAAACCTGCTTGGGAGCAGGCTTATTTCATGTAAACAGGATTAGATCGCATCTTTGTAAGCAGAATTGATACTTAAAATCTGTCCCAGCCACTGCTACTTTATTAGAAGAGTACCCTACAGATCCAGGGACAGTAATTTACAATAATAATAATTTAAAAATAAATACAAAAAATATTATAATGTTGTGTAGTCATCATCTATAACATTATAGACAGCCAGGTTTGCTGGTTGAAAAATGTATTTGTGATTAAATAATTACATTATAATTGTATTGGAGTCTTACACACATGTTATACAGTTAATCTGAGCCGTGCATTCATTTGAGTGCTGACACTTATTATGGGAGTGGCTTGAATTAAGAAACTTTAATAAACGCTGTCACGTAACAAATCTGCTTCAAAGTTCAAATTCAATGAATAACTAATTACAACACTGAAATAAAAATGTAAAGCCTGTACAAATACTAGAAATCATGAATATAAATAATTAGGAAAAATGTAAATAAAATAAAATAAAAACAGTGCACATTTCATTGATCTATTATAACATTTATGTAGTTTTGTTCGCTTGGCTGTTTCCTTATAAAAGTCCGCTGTCACGTAACAAATCTGCTTCAAAGTTCAAATTCAATGAATAACTAATTACAACACTGAAATAAAAATGTAAAGCCTGTACAAATACTAGAAATCATGAATATAAATAATTAGGAAAAATGTAAATAAAATAAAATAAAAACAGTGCACATTTCATTGATCTATTATTAAATTTATGTAGTTTTGTTCGATTGGCTGTTTCCAGAAATTCGTCAAGTTTTTTGGTCAGGTGTCTTTTTTAATTATGTCATTGCGTTGCTGTCTTGCCGCCAGCCAATCGCTACATTGCTGATCGTGGTCTCGAGTATCGATACATCTGCCCATTTCGGGGAACACGAGAACGCGCAGTAATCTTAGACAACTTAATCCAGATATTTTAATCAAATCCGCAAATTCGTTTGAAGAACCAAATTAGCTAGATATCAGTTATCACGATTAAAAAGACCTGGCATCTTTCAAATCATCTCGGATGTAATAAGCGAGGTACGAAGAACAGACCCCTGGGGTGTATTCCAGAAAGCGGGTTTTGTTGGAAACTCAGAGACTGCTAACCCCAGAAAAGGGAAACTCAGGGTTTTCGGTTCCAATAAAAGACAAAACTAAACCTCTCGGTAAGTTACCATAGTAACTTACTCTGTGAAACTAACCTGCGGTGTATTCCAGAAAGGAGGTTCAACAATGAGTTAAAACTTGAACTCTGAGTTGACTTGCCCCGAGATTGGAAACTCTTGAGTTTTCGGTTTCTGGACAGCTGAACAGAGCTAGTTCAATCCTTGAAAAGCCATGATCAATGGAGCTCCGGAATTACGATTCACCATGGCAACAGCACCCGACAAAAAGACTACGCAATACGTAACTTAAATTCTTAATCACTGTTATAATATGTTATTGAACTAATCTTAATTTTAACGGTATCCCAAGGGCAAAAAAAGAAAAAACCGTGGCAGCAGAAAAAAATGTAACATAAAAACATAATTCAGTCAGGTAAAGCTTTAAGTGTAAAAGGTTTATGGGTGTAGGCTACATGACTTTACAAACATTTGACATATTCAATAAATATCATTCAGTGTCTATTTCAATGTGCAGCGGCTTTTTCCACATAGTCTAATGCTCTTTTCACATAATTAAATGTTCTCTAATCCAACATACATTTCTTAATTAGTGTAATGAAATAAACTATTGACTTCTATTTAGCCAACAGCAAGAAGGCAGAGAGACTCGTAAAATGGGGGGAGAACCTGCACCAGCAGGTTCTGTATATCAGTTATCTGTATAAATTATAAAACACTATTATGACAAGGTAATGTTTAATTTACTATATCATATATACTTATTACATTTTATATTATCATCTCACACATGGATCGGCATTTTTTATAATGTATTTCTATAATAAAAATACAGATCTGATATGACTTAATATATAATTAGCATCAAACAAACAATATAATTCTTATTCTCCAGGATTAAAGAGTAAACAGAAAAAAAGAAAAATTATTGCACATTCATCAATTAGGTGGCGATATGCACTAAGCATGTAAATGAACAAAAGAAGAAGAAAGAAACAGCATGGTGCGATTTTTCTTAGCCTTGTCGATTCGTCGCTCTGTTGAGAATGTCTTGAGTCTTAATCAGGAACATACTCTGTGTTGAATGAACTTACTCCCGGACGCGTTTTTGGAACCACATACCTCGAGTAAGCAAGGTTTGGGGTTAATCAACCGAGAGTTCAGGGTTTAACAGATGGTAAATTAACCGTGCTTTCTGGAATACACCCCAGCTCTGCTGATGTTCATGTTTATGTAGACACTGAAAACACGATTATTGTCATGCGTACTTCAGTATGTAGTAGATAAATGGCGCCACTCAGAGACATGCAGAAACAAGCAGATTATTTATATAGCAGTCTCTTCATGCTTCACAGACACATATATCATCTTTTGATTTATCCATCCAACAGATTGCGCTTTTCATGTGGTATCCTCGTTATACTGTAAATTCCATCTTCATGGCACCAGGATTCCCTCTGCATCACGGAAATCATATGGCCTTAATTTATAACTTTTTATAAATGCGACACACCTTCATCTGCACAGAGGGATGGTGTCCACGAATATGAGCGAACAATGAATGTTTAACAACAAGATTTTTAACGACAGTAGTGTTTGGAGGGGATGGATGTACATAGAAATTATGTTAAAGTTGCTGGGTGGCAAGAGAAAGCTTCCATTAGTACCAACTGGAATTTATGAAATTGCAAGTCATGTTGCACCCAAAATAGCATATTTCTTATATTTGCTGACCAATAATGTTTGAAAATTTGGCAAAGCCATGCCCCCCAAGCATTTTGGTTTCATAAGGTGATTTTGAGTAATTCGTTTAGACTTATTATTCCATATAAAGGATAAAAGGACAGGTTTATTCTTTAATATGTGCGTTGCTGGGTGTCGTGTGTGATCTGACGACAAAAAGTTTTTTTTTCATATTCAAATAGCAAAAAGAAAACTATTACTGTTTAACAGTAAGTAGGTTCATGTTTCTATGAAGTAAATAAAGAATGATGGTCCATTGAAACATTTATTTACAAAAAAGTAAGTGTTGAAACACTCCAGAATAAAGAAACAATTATAATTGTAGGCTTTAGTGCAAAATAAAAATCACACAAAGTAAATTAAATATATTCCCAATGCTAAAGAAGTTATACGAATGACATATTATGCATGACAAATGATGATCTATAATAACTATTGTATAAAAGAAATAAAGTCAAACTGGTTAATAAGTGAAGCTGGTAATGCTGTTTGTGGAGTTGTTTAATCCTCTTCTGCTGAGATCTTGAGAGATTTAATGTGTTTTATTTCAGTTGATTTCATCTAAGGTTGTGACTGGAACGCAGTTGTAGTTGTTTCTCTTTTTTCTGTTCTTGTTGCTTCACTTTTCTTCAGTGATTCTGCTTGTTAACAGCAGGTGTTCATCACTAATGCTCAATCATCACTTAATTAATCACATAATTATCTTATTAACTTCAACTCTGATTCAGTGTTACTTTAATACACTCTAAACAGAGTTCATTTAAAGGGGTCATCAGATTCAAAAATGTACTTTTACATGTTGATTGAACTGAAATGCGTGTTGGCAGTGTGTGTACACAACCACCCACGATTGTTGATTGACAGCGGCATCAGTCTTTGGTTTTAGCACAGACCAGCCCCGTGTCAGCTGTCATCAATCCGCCATTGTTTCGACACCAGAGCAGGTGTAGACAAGAATGTCTCCTAAGTGATTGAGGTGTTTTGTTGTTGGATGTAATAATGAACATGGCAGTCTTCATTTACTCGCGACATCTGAGCCACTGAAGACACTCATCTACCTAAATGCCTCTGTTCGTTTTTTTTTTTGATGAATCTTTGTAAATCGCCTTTTTAAATAATGTGCTAGTTAGCAAGTTTCAGGATGAATGCAGTTTAAAGTTTACAGTCTCTCAGAGAACGGCTTGTCACCTCACAGAAGAGAGGTGCGGGGTGAGAAGGGCTCATTAGCATTTAAAAGGACATGCAATGAATGACACGGCTTGCTATGAACAGAGCTGTTTTTGACAGCATGTTATAGACTTTTTTTTCATGAAGACCATAAAGAATCATACCAACTTGTGGAAAATGGGCATCCGGTGACCCCTTACACACTCAGGATTTTGCTGTGTATGCATTGCACAGATTAAACATTTCAATTATCATTTCTATTCATTTTTATCTTTTTTTGTTGATGAAGGCTGCAAAACATCTTCGACTCTTACATATGCTGCCCCACTTGTTGCTCCAACACAGGCTCCTATTCCTAATACTTTTGCTCCTGCTACTGTTCCTCCTGCTGCTGCTGCTGTTCCTCCTGCTGCTGCTGCTGCTGTTCCTCCTAGAAGAACTGCCCCAGCTAATCCTACCCCTGTTATTGCAAGTCCTGCAACAGCTCCAATAACTATAGCTTTGCTGTATTTTTTTAAAGTGAGATTTTTCTGAGTTTCCTCATATATTTTCTTAACATAACCTTTGGGTATGTTTAAGGGTAAGTAAGCGGACAACCTCAACTTTCAGTTCCAAAAATGGAGGTAACGTATGTAAGAAGCCATAGCAACTTGCTCTCTGAAGATAACTTACTATATATATATATATATATATTAGGGGTGTAACGGTTCACAAAATTCACGGTTCGGTTCAATATGACACAGTGGTGTCACGGTTCGGTAGGGGAGTAATTGGTTACGTCGCAATGTTGGAAATATTTCTGTCTTAAACCATGAAGGTGAGCCAATGGATATCAACAAGCAAATTTTGTGTAAGAGTTACTCCGGTGAGCATTTTAATCTCAATCAATTCACTGTGCAGAAAGTGAAAGTAAAAACGGAATGATGGAGTAATGATGGAGCTTTCGGCATCTGACGCAGCATATTCTCTTAGAGACAACGAGAGACAAATCTACTTCAACATATGCTGATAATGGTACATAGCTAATGTCACGCCCCTGGACTCATTGTGTTGTTTCTTCCCTCCCCAGGTGTGCCGTGTCTCAATTAATTAGTCATTCCATGCACCTGTGTTCCCCTAATCACCCAGTGTTTAAAAGCCCCAGTCCTTTCAGTTAGTGTTTGTCGGTCCTCAAACATCATTCCTTGTGTTCCAGTGTCTCCTATGTTCTCCATGTGATCATTAAAGACTGTGAATTGAAGTTATCTCCGTGTTTCCTCGCTCCTTGCCTCCCGAGAAGTGTGACAGAAGGACCGACAAAAACAGTAACTTCCGTGTTTTCCCCTCCGTTTGTTTTCCATTTTTTTTTCTCAGTGTTTTTCTTTCCGTTGTGTCCCCATGGATCCCTTCACTCACCCCAAATTCCTCCTCCTCCTGCTGGAGCAGGGAGACAAAGCTCTCGAGGACCATACCCATTGGGCTCCTTCCTCCCGCCAGCTCCACCTTGGTCCTCAGTCGCTCCGGCTCCACCGCGGATCTCCGCCTTGGTTGCCAGAGCCTTCGGCTCCACCCTGGCCCCCCGGATTCTTGGCATCCCCCTGGTTCGTTGGCTCTCCGTCTCCGCCTCGGGCTCCTCCACCACCTGCTCCGCCGCTGTTGGTCGGCCCCCTGGAGTCGGTGGCCATTCCTCCTCCATGGCTCCTCCCTCTGTCGGCTCCACCATGGGCCGCCGTTATGGCTGTGGCCTGGGTCCTGCTGTGCTCCTCCTGCTCCGGGCCCCACCTGTCTCCTCCCTCCTTCGTCACCTCCCTGGTCTCTATCTGCCGGCCCCCTCCCAGATGGGAATCTGTCTGCCGGCCCCCTCCCGGGTGTCCGTCCTCCACCTGAGCCTCCTCCCTAGTTCCCACCCACTCCCCTCCCCAAGTTGTTTCTACGGTGCGAGGACGCACCTTCCGGAAGGGGGGAGTAATGTCACGCCCCTGGACTCATTGTGTTGTTTTCCCTCCCCAGGTGTGCCGTGTCTCAATGAATTAGTCATTCCATGCACCTGTGTACCCCTAATCACCCAGTGTTTAAAAGCACCAGTCCTTTCAGTTAGTGTTTGTCGGTCCTCAAACGTCATTCCTTGTGTTCCAGTGTCTCCTACGTTCCCTGTGTGATCATTAAAGACTGTGAATTGAAGTTATCTCTGTGTTTCCTCGTTCCTCTCATTAAAGACTGTGAATTGAAGTTATCTCCGTGTTTCCTCGCTCCTTGCCTCCCAAGAAGTGTGACAGCTAACTGTTTTAATTTATTCCCTTAATATTTCTCTTGTGGCCCATACATAGTGGAAAAAAATGAGAAGCAATGTATTTAGTGTTAAACAGGTTGTTTTTGAAAGTTGGTGCTTTAATATAGGCTAAGCTTTTTATTTCATTGATTTTTGATGACTGCAGTGTTAATATTTTAATTAAAGGCCTATTATTCATTGTATAATCGACCTGTTTTAAAAGAACTTAAAACAACCATTTAACTGAGTAAATAGCCTAATCTTTTGTTATCCTCGCAGCGCTTGTCAGACTCTGTTCCATGGTGTGTGTGTGTGTGTGTGTGTGTGTGTGTGTGTGTGTGTGTGTGTGTG